AGTCATTAATAATGTGCGAGTATAAAGAAATTAAAAGTAATTCTTTGATTAATGTTTAACAAAGGTTTTTAAATTTACTAAAATCTAACACTAGGGTTATAAACGGTGTATTTTTTTAAAAAATTTTCTATAGGTTCGACTCGAATAATTTATTTTCACTAATGATTCGATTGACAACTATATTTTGCACACATAAAAGAATTTTAACCGTTCAGAATTTTAAGAAATTTAATCTTTGGGGTCCGAATTTTACAATTATTTATGTTTAGTGTATTTTTCGATATTTATCATTTAAATAATCGTAGTAGGTTTGAAAAGAATGACTTTTTTATAGGGTCATCTACTTATAGTTGAGGTTGACCAATCCATTTGCTGGGACGTTACGTGGCTGATTAAAATTATGAATAATGAGCAAAAACTTATCTATATTTTCTATTTATTACAATCAGTTTCTTTTCTTTTCTGATTTCGGACCATAGAGATCGAATAATTTCTTGGAATTTGCACAATTTTCTTTTTCTTAGATTCCTCTTCGAACCGCTATTCAACCCTCGAAAACGTTATCAACGTATTATCCATTTTCATCATTTATTGATATATGTACCTTCGACTCTTTGATATTGACGGAAAAGAAGAAGATCCTTATGATACAAGAGGAAGACCATATTGGAAGACGATGAAGGATGTGGTGTATTTCAAATAAGTATCTATAATATCTACAATAAATTCTTCTCATTATTAGTGGTTGATTCGATAATATTTAATGTAAAAACAAAATAAATTAGATTTATTTAATTTTAAAACGAAAAATTATGATTGACTGAAGGATACAGTATCTTGAATACTTTATCTTAATAAGAACTTATCCTAGACACTTCATTTCTATTAAGGCATATAATCTGCCAACGATCAGTTAAACTCTGTTACACAATTTTCCGTGTTTCACCAAGAAATAATTTCGTGATTTTTTTTATTTAAAACATTATTGTTGTTTTTAATTAAAAAGTAATTAGTAAAAAGATAATTTTAATTTAGAAATAAAATATATCATATTATTTACAGATTACAAAATATGGGAAAAAATGTCGATAGATTTTCATAATATTTTGTTTTCACATGTTTTGGCGTCAACTATGGATGAATGATTACATTATGTGGTAAATTAGTCGATCTTACTACAACCCAGTACAAATTTACATAGCCACATAAGACTGGAAAAGGATTTAATTTGCTATGAATTTAAGCTCGATCATTTGATGAAACTTTTTGAAAGATCAAAATTTATCGTAAATCATAATTAATTATTTTTGCTAGTATAATCATTTAACATCGCTTTGCATATCTGTAATAAAAAAAAAAATAATGTTTTTAAATAAAATATGCATAGTTTACCAAAAATAATAGTCATTTTCGTAGAAGTCTCCCAATTTAAAAGATAAAATTATTATTCCTAATTCCAACATTAAAAAACAAAATAAAAATGTATATACATTGGCATATTTTTTTACATTGAAAACATCTCTCAAATAGAATAGTTTTTAGGTATAAATAAAAAGAAAATATTTATCACTTTTAATAATTTATAATAGTATTAAAAAGAACTCCCATTAAATTATTTTGTTATTAATTATCTAGGCGCATTCATTGATAAAAAAAAAATCTCCAAGATATTAGAATTCACGTTTAATTATTCATTGATTTGTAAAAGATTAAACACACTCCTCAGAAGTTCATTGCTCCAAAAGATTCCTATTCATAAATTTTTTAAACTTTAAAATAGCGAGTTTAACGATTAAATACGAAAAAGTAACGTTTATTATATTCAAATAAGTAGGGATGGTAACGCGACCGGTTGACCTATTAAATTAATTATCACATTTACATTTTTGCTTAATGTAAAGTTAACAAAGGCATTTTTAAAGCTTGTTTATATAAAATAATTTTCTTATTTTGATTTACTTATTCCTTTAGGCCATTAAGTACATTCAGTTGCGCTGCATTAAACTGCTTATAATATACAGAATAATTAAATAAAAAAATATATATATTGTTAATTTAATAATTACACGGCGGATAATTATAACGAAACTTCACGGACGAGTAATCGACGATAACAACACAGTTACTATATACTAATGAAACCTAGGCATCAATCAAGATTGTCTAGAACACATTTGGATAATTAACATATAGGTGTAAACATGGATATGATTTATCGTACTGAATAGAATCTGCTATAAAGTAAAAATTCCAAGATCTAAATAAAAACAATTTTTTTATTGGTAGAGTAGTTCCAAAACTCTAGTACTGTAATTCAGGTGACGCATGTATTCTAAACAGGTTCATGAGTTACTTTAACGAAACCGAATTGCACATGGGATTAATCCAAGAATAATTGAAGCATTAGGTGTAAGCATGGATATGAAACTTACCTTTATAATTTAAGTTTGACGTTACCGCGGAAAAATTTCTTTTGGTAATATTTTGTAAATATCGTTGTCGTCATTAAAATATATAGCAGAAATTTTTTTTTTAGTTTATGTAATAATGATCGTTCGTTCCACTTTTGATGTGTGAGCTATAACAAAAATTTGTAGAGAGAGTTGATGTTGTTTCATTTAGTGAAATGCTTTTCAAAGGTATATATCGTGCATATTCAGAACGAACAAATAACATCGTAGTCATGAAGATCATGCTGTTTTTTGTCGAGTGGTAAGGAATCGAACTTTTAATAAGCACATTTCATGTGACAATCAATTATTTGAATTGTAATTTTATATTAGTAATTTAAACTGAACTGATATATAAAGAAATAAGGCAATGACTATGAAAGAATTAGTACGCGTTTATTTAATAAAATATCAAATTTATAATTGTCCTTTCGAAAACGTGTTAATTATGTTGATGTGATTTGTAACCAAGTGTAAATGATTTAACTAATCCGATTAGTTAAATAATAAAGGTGAGATTACAAAAATGTGACTATAAGAAAAGTTTGACGATAAAAAAGGTGACTATATAGGGGTCGACGAATTTGTATATTTATAGATAGGAAAATTGAAACAATTTCATTGCAAGAATTAGTAAATTTTAATTATGATTTAACATCAATCAACTTTCTTTTAATTATCATTTATCATTAATAATCATGTATAGTAAATTCATCAAAACCATGAATCATTAACGAATTTATATTACTCAATAATGTTTTAATTTATTTTATAAATACAACGAAATGCAAACCTGCTAATTGGTAGTTGTATTATATAAAAACGATTTGATTACTGTTCTCTTGAACAATTTCTATTTCTTGATGAATAAAAGTACTTTCGATCAATATAGAAATCGTTCGGGAGAACAATGACGAAATCATGGGTTACTGATTAACAAAGCATCATTAATAAGGTGGCGGGGAAGTTTTCGGGATTATTATCCGAGAAGGATTTGGTTATCGTGATTAAGTAAATAGGTCCTTGATGAGCCCGATGCTAAAGTCCATTTGGAAAGTTATTTGGCAGAAAAACAGTGGTGTTATTCCCTAACCCCTTCGGAAACTTTACTCAAGATATCGCTTCAAATATATTTAATTTCCAGTAAATATTCACTAGAAAAAATTGCTTAGTTTTAATGCCAGATTCATGAGATACCGGATAAAACTGAAATTATTTTCTGCAATAGACACCTTCTAGACCATGCGCGCGTCAATCTTCAAATCTGTTAATAACTCAATTTTGTTAAAAAAATTCCCGGAATCTGATTTTCCTAGCAATCAACCCAGATGATGATATTCTTTAGTTTATTCAAATGGTTTCTTCTTTACATCAATGTAAAGAACAGAAGGATAAAAATTGCTTTATATATATTGTTAAGTTGAGTATTTATTAATTTTGAAGATTAGGAAGCTTACAAGTATTTTTTTTATATATCATAGAATCCTTTATTTCAAATAGAATGATCATCAAGTTTGTTTGTAGTTGGCGTTTACTTAGGTCAATTTATGAGAATAAAGTTATATCTTGTTATTACCGATTTAATCAAGAGAATTTTTTAAAAATTCAAACTTACAGTTCTTCAAGCGTTCACATAAAATAAACTGTCGTGTATTAATTTCGTAATGAAGAATTATTAAATGTGGTCTAAATTAAATAATATTTATCTTTAAGAATTAAACTTTAACAAAGTTTAATCATGAGTTAATCTTAACCTAACTCTGGCTAAATCTTCAGTATCGATCCGAGCTAACTTTAACCGGTTAATAACCATAAATTCCCTACCAACTTATAATACGATTTATTCACATAATATTTAATATTTATGTATCAATGTCAATAAAAACACTTTAAATAAATCATACTAGTGCGATAAATATGATTGGTGGCACAAAGTTCCTTCGGCGCACTTGTCTAAACCAAACCAATTTATCTTCCATAATAAATTTAACAAAAAAGGTTAGCAGAAAACAACTATCAGATCAACAATTAAATAAAAGATTTTTTTTTTTTTTAGATTATTTATAAAAAGGCGAATTATAAAAACTTAAGAAAATAATTTTATTTTTTATTCAAAGTTGCGCTATAAAAAAATACATAAGGATGGCCTTAATATATGAAACGATGACGAAAATTAACTGGATAACGGTCGCATGGATAATATTAGGAGCTTACATTTTTCGTTATTATTATAATTATTTTACGCGTACAAATCCTCTCCCTGGACCGATTCCGTTTCCTATTGTTGGAAACTTGTTACAACTCGGACTCGATGCTTCCAAGGTGGCAAAATATTTAGATTCAAAATATGGAATCATATGTGAAGTGTACTTTGGATCGCAAAGATCCATTTTTGTATCAGGATTAGAATCTATGGAAAAGATTTATTCCACTTCTACATCCGTCAAGAATAATGGTTTCATGTACAGGATCCCACCAAATGAAGGAATTAGTGAGCTTGGATTTGATAGAAATGGTGTTATGTTCAACAGAAATTTGAAAGATTGGAATATAAATCGACGAATACTCAGTCAAACCTTGATGTCACCTAGATTTTTAAAGAACATCATTAAATTAATTGAAAGGAATTGTGATGAGTTATTCCAATATTGGGATTTGTTTAGGGTCGCTGCACATGATAATCGTACCGTGATTGAAATACCAAAGTGGTTGACCGTATTTACTAATGACATGATCATCGAAACCACCATGAGTAAAAAAAGTTATGCAAAAGCAAGTTATTTTAATAGTGTGTCTGACAAAAAGCTTGACATTCCTCAACATCTTTTGAAGAAGTCAGGTGATTTTCTTAAAAATCATCAAGATTCCCTAAAGGGTGGCATGTTTATCATGAACATGCCAGGTTATTTGAGACGCTCAATTTTTAAGTATTTTAACAAGTTTTGTGTTGATTTAGTTTATTGGGTTGAAAATGAAATTGATATAAGGGTGAAGGAACGTCGTCAAGAGATTGAAGCGATGCCCGTTGAAAAAGAATTACCTTCGGATCTTTTGACCTTATTGATCACGACGAATACATCACGCGATCAAAATAAGATTAGATTGGGTGATAGTTACGAACCCTTAACCGACATTTCAATCCGTAAAATTATATTGGAATTGATTTTTGGAGGAACCGACTCATCCACGGCCTCGTTATCATTTATCTTGATTTATCTTTGTAAACATCC